TTCAAAACTTTTTGTCAGCATTTCAGGATTCAGAATCATTATTCTACCCCTGCATACCCTCAGAGTAATAGACAAATAGAGATCTCTAATAAAACAATCGTGGATGAAATCAAGAAAAGGCTGGAGGATGCCAAAGGGAGATGGGTAGAGGAGTTGATGAGTGTTCTGTGGACGTACTGAACCACACCTCGGCGCTCAACTGGAGAGATTCCCTTCGCCCTAGCATATGGGATAGAAGCTGTTATTTTTTTGGAGATCAGCTTACCGACCTTAAGGACGGAGCTGGTCGAAAGCAACATTAATGACACCGTTATAGCACGAGATCTCGATCTGGCAAAAGAAAAGAGAGAGCAGGTCGCCATAAGAATGACTTTATATCAGAATCAGATGTTCCGAGCTTATAACAAGAATGTAAACCCTCGGTCTTTCACACTTGGAGACCTAGTAGTCAGGCGTGTATTGGGATCGGCTAAGAACTCAGTCCATGGGAAGCTCAGAGCAAACTGGGAAGGTCCTTACAGAATAGCTAGAGTTGGGGGTAGTGGGTATTACGACTTCGAGACCTTGGATCATAAGGCAGTACCGCGCCCCTGGAACACGGCGAACCTCAGAAAGTTCTATTTCTAAAAATTACCTTTTTAGATAGAACTCCGAAGTGCTTTCAAAAATTTAAGGGTGCCCCTTAAGCGATGGTATATTAGCAGCGAATGTATCAAGTTGAAGTTATCAATAAAAATTTGAGTATTCTTTTTTACACTTGATTTGCATTATATACGTCCTACTGCGAAGGTAGGGATGCCAAAAAATCAAATAGAAGTCAAAAGCTTAAATCAGGCACAACCACTCGATCAAATCCAGACCCTCGGCTAGGCATGACGATGTAAGCTGACTAGGGATGAGTTTGAGTCCAATCAAATTAGCGGGTCGGTGCGGAATAGAAACACTCTTAGATCTCAAGGGGACTTTGAGTAACTCTACTAAAGAACCAAGCTCTTTGAAGAAAGGCCGAGCAAGGGCCAAGACTTCAAGAGACTTGAAATTTTCTCTAAATATAAAAAGGTTCCTATTGAGGAACCGAGCTCTTTGAAAAAAGGCCGAGTAAGGGTCAAGACTTCAAAGAGACTTGAAATTTTTTCTAAGTATAAAAAAGTTCCTGTTGAGGAACCGAGCTCTTTGAAAAAGGGTCAAGACTCCAAGAGACTTAAAGTTTTCTCTAAGTATAAAAAGGATCATGTTGAGGAACCGAGCTCTTTGAAAAAGGACCGAGCAAGGGCCAAGACTTCAAAGAGACTTAAATTTTTTCTAAATATAAAAAGGTTCCTGTTGAAAAACTGAGCTTTTTGAAGAAGGGCGGACCAGGGCCATAACTTCAAGTATGACTAAAATTTGACTAAGTATAAAATCAATTTTTTGCTCAAACATTCAAAGAAAAAGAGAGATGATAAAAGTCGATTCTCATTCTCATTTAAACTTCAAAAAGTACAAGATCTTATAACAAGTACATCAAAAATTGCAGGTGCATCAGAAATTTCAAAAAAGTTCAAAAAGTATTCTAAGTGTTTGAAGGGGCAGGAGGCTAAGAGAAGCTTGGAGCTGAATAATTTGAAAAGAGTTCGGAAGTAAAAGGGACCCCTGCAGCAACTAGTGCAACACGTCATCCCTTACCGAAGAAAGCATCTTGAAGATAAGGGATTTGCAAGGCAAGATCATTTTTCGCTTTCTTAACTCCTTCATCATAAGTTGCATCTTCTTTCTCTTTTACCTCAGCCTTGTACTGATCAAATTCTTAAAGAAGGGTGGAATAGTCAAGTTGGGATTGATAAAGTTCTACGCTAACTTCGTGCTCGGACTTCTTCAGCTTTTCAACCTCTGAAGAAAGCTTCTGATTTTCCTCAATCAGGCTTTGGTTTTGAGCCTGTAGAACCTTCATTTCTTCGCAAATTTTTGCATATTCCTCATCCATACTCTCCTTATTGGTCAGAGCTGAAGTTCGAGCATGGATGGCGTCTTTCATTGCCTTATCTTTACGAGCTATCCGAGCTCCGACCTCATGGACTTTTTGCAGACCCTTAAAGTCGTGAAGAAGGAAAAGACTTAGAAAAATTTTAAGAAAGAGTAAAAAGCTTAAAGGAAGTCAGAATCAAGACTTACCAGGACCATATGTTGAATAGTCTAACGAGACACCACATCATCAGTTAGTACCTCGTTCATTTCTAGGTCACGAGGTCGGAAAGGTGGAATTACTGACTTGGGAGAGAGAGTCACCTCGGCCTCGGCAATCCTCTACCTCTTCGGGGTTGGGTCCTCGGTAAGCTCGAAAATGGAGTCTTCTTCAGGAGGAGGAGATTGAACAGAAACAAGGGGATTTAATTCGATTGGAATTGAAGTTTCACAGATCTGAGCCGCGTCAGCTTGATCACTGCTCGGAACATCGGCATTACTTGGAGAAACAGTCTCGGCAATAACCTTGGCAGCGGGCTCTTCTTCGATAACGATTGGGGGCACAGAAGTTGTTGCCAATTGTTCGGTAAGAGGGGTCGGCTCAACTGTTGATAAAAAAGTCTAAGAAATCCCTCACAGTTCTGCATCTAGAGGCTGCTATGGAAGGTCCCTTTTTTGCTCGGGGTGTCTTTTCCCGAGCAGCCTGGATGGCTTCCCGATCTGCTGCAAGCGTTGCATTGAGTTGGTTCAACACGACGATAAAAGATATGTAGTTGGGCGTGTATCCAAGTAGTGTATGGGTAGCTCGGTAGAACAAAGATTCGTTGAAATCCCAAACCTTTTGAAGTTAGTCCAACTTAACAAAAAACTTAGGGATTGTGCCCTTCACAATTTCTCCTACACGAGAATTATATCAAATTCAATAAAAAAAGAAAGAATAGCGAATCTTTAGAGGAGAAGAAGATTCGAGTACTTGGCGCGCCTTCTTCATAAGGGCAACGATAGGAAGGAGAGGCTCTAGTGGGGTATTCCCAATTCCTAGAAATGAACACAATGTCATTTTCATGACCTTTGTTCAAATCGGGAAGGTGGGTAACCAGATAGCGGTCCTTTTTCCTCACTAATAGATAGTAGTTATCTCCAACAGCTTTGATGATATAGCAGTACAAAATCTCCCACAGCCCAAGACTCAGACCTAGAATCTTGTTCAAGGAGGACACCCCCATGACAATCCTGAAAAAGTTTAGACAACATTGGAGGGGACAGAGCTTCGCAGCAGAAAGCACCCAGATCAAAAGGGGGTCAAGAGGGAACCGAACGCCACCCTCGGTTATGGCACGAGTAGCAATGAGGATTGACTCTTTTGTGCCAATCAATGGTTCATCCTTTCCCGCAACTCTTATTTCAACATGTCAGGAACGTTGTATTTTACTCTGAAGGCTGGAATTTCAGAAGGCGTGAGAGGGGCCATTGAAGAGGATAGAATTTAGAGAGAAAACACAGAAAGAAAAGGATAAGAGTCTGAGAATCTGGAAGCAGAAAAGCGAAGTGTGTAAAATACGAAGAAAGACGGTTTATAAGGGGAGAGGAATTTTAAACGACAACATTTAAATGCCCTGAATATACCACCAAAATGAAATGGCATGTTACAAAGTACAAGTAATGATGATGAAAAGATAAGAAAATGGCTGACAGCCAAAAAACATCTATCATACGTTTTCTGGGGGCAAATGAAGGGGTTAAACCTCATGATTACACATGATATGACATTAAATGTGCTTACGTGGTGTTAACAAGACAAGACACGTGATGAAAAATCCTCTATTAAGCCTTTTAACCAAGCCGAGCTAATTAAAGGTTCGGTAATCAAAGAAAAAATTTGATTCTCTTTATGACTGAACTCATCAATCTATTCGACTAAGCAAGGAAAGAGCTCGGTTTGTACCAAGCCAAGTTCACTAAAGTGTTCGAGAAGGTGATAGAAGAGAATGGTTTGTGCCAAACCAAGTCCCTAAAACTGTTCGGCAAATGTCAAATGTGCTCGGCGTTCGATATGTTCGAGCTGTTCAAAACGATATATGGAAAGATAAAGATTTGCCTATTACTTAGGCAATCAGATAAACGAATCAACAAAATTATAGATATTAAGAGGAATTGTTGGAGAAATATCAACAACTTCCCAAACTAAATGACTGAATTAAAGGAGGGTGTACCACCTTGAATAAAAAATCACAAAAACCCTAAGGGGATGACCAGAAGAACCCAAGGTGAAAGGTACACAGAACTCTCCTGGTTTTCTTCCATTCATTTTAGTATTTTTACTGACTTAAACATCAGTGTCTTCGATCGAAGCACTTCGATCTTGAACAGTTTATTCATTTTGTAGGTAAAAGAAAACTGGAAGATCAAGTTCAAAAACACATTAAATTTTCAATTCCTGTAGGAGGTATTCTCAATTTTTTAACTCTTACAGCAATCATGTCGTCTCAAGCAAGTTCGTGACACATCTAAGAAAAATCGTGTAAAAAAATAGCTCAATTTATACATGACGTATTCATGAAAATGGATCCAAATAACAAATACAAACACAATTCATTTTTGTTTGATGGTGGATAAAGTCGCGCTACACTTGGCATAAATTCATATTTGTTATAAAATTAATCTTATTTAGACATAAATTAGAAATTTAATTTTGTCACCTAATGTTTTTATGTCAGTAAATTAACAATGAGTCACGATATTAGATGAAGTTATCTAATAATAATAATAATAATTCGTTAAGTTACTCCCAACCAATGGTAGATTCAATTTTATTAATTAGGTCAATTACATTATGTTGCTCAAAATTAAAAAAAAAAAAAAATAATGTTATTTGAATTTAATTTATTGACCTAATTCACTATAAACATTAGATTGAATGTGGGTCCTATTAAATATTAAAATTTGGTATTAATCTAATAGTTACAATGAAATCATATCATTATATTAGATTTTTTGATCTAAATAGCATTATTTCAAAAAAAAAAAAAAATCCAACTAAAACGCATCGTTTTGATTAGCGTACAAAGTCTTCTCTCTCCAAAACCCTAAACCTCAACTTGGGAAGCAGCGAAGTAGAAGTCCAGTGCGACAACTAGTAGGGGCTGTGTATTCTGCGACCATGGCTGTCAGTCTCTCTCTCTCCCCCTTTTTCTTGGTATATGATTTCTGTATCGGTTAAGGGTGCTAATAGTTCTGGAATTAGCTGTGTTTTGCTTAACGTCGGTGATTTCTGATTTATTCGGCTGAAAGTTGATGAATTATGCTAGGAATTCCCCAGTAGTTTGATGTGTGCTGCTGAAATTTGCTGTAACTTCTGTGTTTGACTTAAATTCTCTGTATTTAGCTACATTTGTGGTGATTTATAAATTATACAGCCTCTGTACATGTTACTTAAGTAATGTTTTTGTGAAATCAACCGTTTATTTTTGTATACTCCTGATTTAGACTTAGAATTTGAGCTATCACATTATTTAGTTATTGCATATAAATTTGTACATGAGGGTGGGCCTTGCTGTGGCCGTAATGTTGCTCCTCTGTGACCCAAGGGTTTGAGTCACGAAAACAGTCGTTGTGCACATACATTTGACCCTCCTCAAACCCCACTATACTGGGAGTCTTGTGCACTTGATCGTTATATAAATTTTTACATATTATCTACACAATGTGCGCCTTGCGCCTTGTCCAGGTGATCTTGGTGGCTTAGTGCACTTTACGCTTTTAACAACATTGTTTGCTGCATAGTTACAATCATCGTATGACTTGGTGAATGGGATTTTCCTTCACAATGGCAGGTTAGATGTAAGGTTATTGCAAATCATTTTGACAGTTGGTAGATAGAAGATAGACATGAACTTAAGATTGAACGCATCATATGGGGAGGATTAACACCATTGGCTAATTCTTCTCTCTAAAAATTAGCTACATGTTTGCTTGATTCTTTTGGAACCAAATGGGATGTACCAGATATCTGTCCCCTTGTGCACTGGGGAGTGAGGACAACATTAAAAACTGAGCGACTTAATTTTGAACACAAATTATTAGTAGTTATTCAATTTTGGTGTGGCATGGAAATCTTTTGTATTTCTATTTTCTTTTATAAAGCCTATATATATATATGCTGGTTCACAGGGACGGGTTTACACTGAGTATGTTTAAAATTTTAAGATTTTTTAAAATTTGCCCCCACTAAAATATTTTTAAAATTTATGAGCACTTTTATACTTGAATAATACATTTTAGATCTAAAAAAATTGACCTAAAAATGTATTAAGTGATGTAGTTTAATGAAAAATTCCAAAAATTCCAACTATAACAACGATAAATCTACAATACCAACAAGAGATATTGTACTACAAAATTAAAATTTTAATGGTTAAGTTAGAACTTTTAATAAATAAGTTATCACTCTTTGAGGTTATTCGATCAATTACAAATGTCATGATCAATTATAAATATTGCAATGGATCATAAGATGTTATGATGATCATGAATAGTCTTTAAAATGTTTACCTTTACTTTTGAAACATGTATTTTTTGTGGTCAATCATTTTTGAGTTATAACTCAATCTTGAAAAGCTGTAACTTGACCTAAATTGTTTCATCTTTCACCATGATATCTCCTTTGATACCATTAGGATAGTAATATTGAGAACGTTTAATCTGTCAAGTCATTATGCTACTATATAACATCACTCTTTATATTTTAAAAAAATAGGAGGAATTTTTTTTTCATAAATTCCTTTTATAAATTTGAATCTCAATCAAGCATGACTAATTAGAATTTAATCTACAAGTCAGAAAGAGAAGAGAATACATGCACATACCATACAAAAGATCTGATTTTTTTCAATTTGCTATAGTTGTCATGAATGTCTTATGGAATTGCACTTCTATATTTCAATTCTAGAGTTAATGGAAATTTATTAAATTATTTTTGATTGACCTCTTGAAATTCAAGTTTGAGTGTTTTGTAATGGATTAAATTTTTCTTTCATATTGTTATAACTAAATATTTCTATATTTAAAATTTGGCTTTTATAAATCATATTTGAAATACCTATATTGATTGATTGGTTTTCAGTATTGAATCTATTGACATAGGAACATATTTGTGATAAATTGAATAGCTTTAATGTTATGATTTTAATATAATAATTAGTTATTATTTGCCCCCACTGCACATAAATTCTAGCTCCGCTCCTGCTGGTTGGGATATGTCTATCTTCTTCCTGCCACATTGAATTGCCTTGCATTATCAATTATAACATCCGAAAAAAGTATGATGTATGCTTCTTGAGGTATCTATTAGCTCTATAATTAATCACGCTTAATTGCTTAGTGTAAACTAAAACTCGTTTGTGGGTGTGTTTTCTGAACTGTTTTACTTGAGTAATTGTTTTAGAAAATACTATTGTTCAATTCTTGCAATTTGAAACTATTAATTTGTTGATTGCAGACTGTACCAGTTAATCCTAAACCTTTCTTGAACAATTTGACTGGAAAGCCTGTCATGGTAAAACTCAAGTGGGGAATGGAGTACAAAGGTGTGTTCTTCCAAAAGGAACCATATTTTTCCATTTTTAATTGATTTTCTCATCCTAATTTTTGTATTTTGAAACCCCCTAGATATTTATGTTTTATGTGAAGACTTGTGCATGATTCCAATATTCCCTTTTTGATTTTCATTTCAGGTTATCTGGTCTCTGTGGATTCATACATGAACTTGCAGGTACCACTGTAAATCCATTTTTCATGCATGTGTGAATATCTACACACCCACCTATTTCTTCATGCTCAAGTGCACTGTCAACCTTGAATCAGGGATATTGAATAGCTTCTTAAGATCTTAGTAGTGAAATACACTCGAAGCATTTTCCTATTGAGAAATAGTGTAAATGATCCTTATATAAGCAATTTGTATATACATATATATATGTTATATTTTAGAACTCCTTATACTTGGTTTATAAATTTAATTCAATTGTCCTTCCTATGTAATTAATGCATTCTGCTGATGGTTGGAATCAGGAATTGTTATTTGAGCTATTTTCAACTTTCTATTCATTTTGTCAGTTTTTATGGTTGCCTTTTTGTGAACAATGTGTACTTATCTGCAGTTGGCTAATGCTGAAGAATATATTGATGGGCAGTTCACTGGAAGTCTTGGAGAGATATTGATCAGGTATTGTCTAATTGATTTCTGTCCTGAATTATAATATGCAAAGAATCCTTTCAATTTTTTTCCCATTAAAATAGATATGTATATAAATTTGTATTGGGATGTTTGTCAGTATTTGAAGGGTATAAATTGGTGGAGACCTAAAATGTGTCAATGGAGGTTTGCAGAATTATACATGCTTCCCTGAATACATAATTGGATAAAGAAATTCTACTTTTTTTCATTCTGTATTTTAGGAACTTCAGCACAAGTTATAAAACTGGGAGAAAAGGGTTGAGGAGGGAGTTTTGAATCTGGCTATCTTGATTCCCCTTGGTCACATCCTTGGATATGGTTAGGAGGAATGTATCTATCTATTTCCTTCGTGTAATTGCGAGGTTATTGAAGTGACTAGGATGCAAGAAATGCTAAAATAAGAGTAATGTGAAAACAAGCACAGATTCTTCCAAGAGTCGGGCATGTTTGGTGGAGCAAAAATATTGTGGCTAAATTGCAGGATGTGGGTAGATTACTGTTGTTGCCGGATGTTTGCAGCATAGAATAGGTATGTTGGGCTGTTTACGAAATGTTATAGGTTATTGGAAGTTGTGTTGATGTGTGTCAACTGATAGAGCATCGAAGAGAAAATGTGATCCGTTACACTAGAGGAATAAGAAAGGCAAATTTTTTTCAGATATTCAAGCTAAGTATGTCGGTACTTATATTCGATATCATGAATGAATCCTGTGATATGCTAAAATTTTAACGAATGAATAATTGTGTTCTTGTCCATTATGATTGCATGTTGCACAGTCAATAGGCGATGTGCACAAGTTTCACAGGAAAACAGATTGCCAAACACAAGGGATTTCTCATCACCTTAGTTCTGGCCCCCCTTGAACGTGGTCATTTGCGGAGGTTATATAATCTCTTATCATGTCGTCTTCCATGAAACACTCAGAAAATTCCTCTTAAATTTTTCCTAGGTTAGAATAAGTTTAACATTATATTGAAGAGAGTGCATTGAGACAATTTATCACAGGTTGTCTGTATTTTTTAGGTTCCTTTCCTCCAAAAAAAGTAGCTTCAACTTCACATTAACAGTCTAATATTGAGTACTATGAATTGCCTAGTTTCAAGAATTACGCTGTTGAGGTGTGTGACTGCATCTTTTGTGTGTTGCATATGCAGATGTAACAATGTTCTCTATCTTCGCGGCGTACCAGAGGATGAAGAAATAGAAGAAGCTGATCAAGACTAGAACATGGATTTCGGAGTCCGCCTAAGCAAGGCCCTCCAAGCACAATCCTAGTTTCTGTTTTACTTTGTTTCTATTAATCCTCGGAGTTTCGGCTTGTATTTGTATAATTTCTAGAAGTATCGTGACTTAATTGATGCACTTGCTGCCTCCGACTTGTAGTAGGCCCTGACCCACTATCATTTCATGTTACAGTTCAAGGAGGATGGTTGGTTGCTTTATTTTGAGAAACCTTTCATTATGTCCTACAAAGCCTTCTGACTTTGACAGAGTTTGCCTTCAATAGGCCTAATTCTCCCTATGATACATTTTTCTTCTATTATGTTTGGTAGGATAGATGGAAATAAAAATGATTAATTTATTTTTTTTGGTAAGATAAAAAAAATATTTTTTTTTTAAAGTGTAAATATATATTCTATTATTATATTTATATATGAAATTAATGTATACATAATTTATATAATAAAACATGATGCAACTTGAATTTTATTTTCACTATATTTTTCTCCCTAAATTAACCCAATCCAAGCATCACATCCAACCCAAGCAACTGCTACCTGGCAAAACAGTTACTTCCCCAAAACTCTGCAACGTGCAAATAGAATTGTCAAAATTTGACACGATACGATTAATTGACACGAATTGATACAAATTAAGCGAGTTTGGGTGAGATTTTAATGGGTTTGAGTGATAAATGGGTTGACACGTCAAACACATTTAATAAACGGGTTGTGTTCGGGTGAGACCTGTCAAACAGTTTATCACATATTTACCCATTTAAATAAAATTAATATAATAATAAATTAATAATTATTTTAAAAATTAACAAGAAAAAAAGAAGTAAAAAAATCAATAAAAAAAATAAATAAAGTAGTAGTTCAAAGACAAAAGAGAGGAGATGAATAACACTTCAAAAATAAAGGCAAATCAATGCCTTTTATTTTTGTCTCACAGCGAAAAATGAGGGGAGATGAGAAAAGTTGAGTTGCCTATAAAAAGCAATGACCTCTTGTTTTTTTTTTTTTAAGCCTTCAAATCTAATTGTTATGAGATTTGCCTAAAAATTCCTCTTTTTTGAGGTAAGTGCAATTGACAATAAAAAAAAGTGGAGTGTTAAAATTTGTTAATATAATTTTTTTAAAATTAAACGAGTTAAACGAGTCATGTCGTGTTACCCGTTTATTAAATGGGTTGTGTTCGTGTTGAGATTTTTTACTCGTTTATTAAATGTGTTGTGTACGGGTTTATATATTTTTCACCTGCCACCTGTTTAACCCGACACGTTTGACACCCCTACCTGCAAAAAACGGCTAGGCTCTCTCTCAATCTCTCAAAGGCACCCTCTTAATCATTCTCTGTTTTTCAAGTAGTGTTCTGTATCTGTTTATTTGCTTGGACTGCATTTAACATTTAGCATTTGCTTGATTTGTCATTGATCATATAGTTTTGTTTGCTACTTAAGTTGACATTGATGGGTCATGTGCGTAGGTGACTTTTCTTGGGTTTGGATTAGGGACAAAGTGAGACTTTTGGGTTTTACAAATCATCACCCTTGATCATGGTCTCCTCCTTCCACGGTTCCATTATGATACTCTGAGGTATTGGGCTTTTTCTAATTATTTAGGCTCTTTCCAAAAAGTTGCAACGACTTACCATATTTAGCCTAATTTGCATGTTCAGCATATTCAGGGATTCTATTCATGTTAAATTTGTCTATCATGCCTCCATGTTGGTATTTTGAGTTTCCTTTCTATTTTGCTGTTAAAGAATCCAGCTTTGCATTTTTCTTCATTTTTTTTTGTCATGTGTACGAATTTTCTGATTGGTTGCTCAAAAAGTCGGTGAGCCTCTATTTTTCTTGGGCCTCTATTTTGTATTGTTCTCCATTTTTTTTAAAGGGAAGCTTAATTTAAAGAAGTTAGTACGAGAGTTGGTTCGATTTGTGAAGCTTTTGTATTTTTTTTTCTGAATGTGTGAAAAAAATAGGATACCATGAATATGTTGAATATGCAAATTAATATATGTGCTATATATAGTTGGTTTTACTCTGACTTTACTCTTCATTTAAAGAAAGAAAGTTCCTTTGCAATTATAGTGCATGGAGAATTAATGGCTTTCACAGAGGTGTAAATTGGAGAATCAATGATTATGAGAAAACCATATTTTTTTCCTTTTAGATCTAAAGTATTGGTTTTTGTTATTATTTATGGTACATTTTTTTCAGATTCTTGACTTTGCAAAATGACTTTGAGTTCCAAGTATGTGAAGCACTTTCGAGGAAACTTAGTTTTAGTTATATTTGCCAATGTTCTGACTTATTTGTGTTGTGTAGAATGGAATCGAGGTCATTGAATAATAACTGTGCACATTACCTAATTGTTGTTGTCCTTTTTTTAGTTTTGGTTTTCTTTAGTTGCATAGGTTTTATGAGAATTTTTTATTTTGAGTTTGTTGTACATATGATGGCATTTTTAGGCAGTTGTATTGTGATTAGTTTTTGTGTGGTTGTCGTATATGTTTATTAATTTTTTGTTTGTTTAATTGCTATTTTTGTTATGTGTTTTTTTTTATAAGTATAGGAGATTGGTTTTTAAGTATTTTTTCATTTGTTGTGTCATACCTTAGGGAAAAAATGGTGTTTTTTTAGTGGGTTTGATAGAAAAAATGGCATTCGTTACTTATGTTGGACCTAGGCTTATTGTTCAATTAGCTTTAATTGTTGGTTTGAGCTTTAATTAGTTTAAATTATTATATGGTACTTATGCTTATTGTCCAATTTATGTATTTTTTCAGTGAACTTCACAACGGAAAGCGACCATCGGCAATGCAGCTTTAGGGACAACACAACTCAAGTGACGACAGTGAGCTCCTATGTATTTTGTCCAAATTTTGATATGTTGTTGTTATTTTAGTCCACTCTTCTATCCAAGTCTCTTTTTCTATATTTTAACGTGTGAGTTGAATTTTCATGACTTGGATTGATTTTTTAAATTCAGGTTGTGATTTTTGTAAAAAATAGGTTGTGATTGCATTGAAACCTGAATCTTCATGCCCCAAAGGTATTAGCATGCCCTTCAATTTAATGCTTATTGTATTCAATATTAGCACATTTCTTTTAAGACCTACATTAAGTTATTTTTACAAAGAAAGGTATGCAGCTTCAGCGACGGTACATAGTTGGATTTCAGTTTGCATATGGCATAATTTGATTATGATTATGAAATATATAAGTTTTGTAAATAGGTTGATATATTTGTGGCATCATATTTTCAGAGGATGCTCTGCCAAAAAATTGAAAGTTTCTTATAGAGTATCCACATTTTGATAGAGTAATCCACATTTTGACTATTTTTATTTCACTAAAGTCATTCATTGTTTGATTATTTCGTATTTAAAAACTATGTACAATGTTTTCCGGCATGTGATATAGAACGTGTTCAAGTTCAGTGTTTGATTATTTCGCTTTAAAATTCAATGTTCAATGTTTTTTAGTTGCATTGTGCCTTCAGGCACGGGTTATCCCTAATATATGTATATATCAAAAGATATATAGACAAATAAGATATATTTCAATACAAATAATTGACTTTTCATCCATTTTTTTTTTCAATTTTGATGAGTTGGAAATAAAATTTATCTATCCACTTTTTCATCAAAAAAATTGTGTCAAATGGAACAAGTTTATATCAAAAATTTTTCATTCATACCTCATTCGTTTATGTAAAAAGGGTCTAACTATCATACTCATACACGACTCATTTATTAGACTGGTTACCTGATACAATCCATATGTCATCAGCTAAATAAAAGAATTAGATAGAGTATTTTGAGTTCACATGAAAAATTATCAACTTCCTATACATTATACATGTTTGATCTTTTTATTATAACAATAAATCATGTTTGAGCGAAAAAATAAATATTAAATTAGTACCAAATTCGAATGAATATGAGAGATGGGAGGCGTGAGATGAGACAGATGCTGAGATATCCAAAAAAAAATTTTTGAAATTTATAGTGTCACTGATAAGAGGTTGAAACGAGTTTATGAGTTAAACATGAAATCAGTTTATTTATTTCATAGGTTTGCCAAGTTAACCCGTTAACCATTCAAATCAGTTAAGACTACACTCAAACCTGCTAAATCTAAGTCGAGTTTGTGTCGATTTCACAAGTCGTGTCTAGGATTGTCAAGATTAAGTAGGAGGTGTCACTTGGGGGTGATTCTAGCCATGCAAAGTGATGATTACAATGTCAAAATCATCCTTAAGGTCTCTGGAAAGGATTAGAACAAGCAGAAACGAAGGGGGGGGAGAAAGAGAGAGAGAAAAAAAGAAAATTATGGAAGAAGGTTGAGCAAGAATTTTGGGTTTTTGATCCAGAGGGCCTCTGGCTGCAAACTCAATGTGGTAGACTCTATTTTGCATAAGGAATTCATTGGTATAGTTAGTTTAAGTTTCATGATGTGTGTATATATGAATTTGAGTTTAAAGTTTAACGTGAGTATGAATTTTCAAAATGGGTTTTATAATTAGACATGTTTTCTTGTTCAATTAAGTCTTGGATCTTGTTCTTGGGTTAGAGTATAGTAGTTCTTGAGGTATTTTAGCTATGACCATGGTGTGTAGAGGTGAGTTGATGAAACCCCGAGAACCTTGAATCTAAAAAATTGAATTCTTCAAAAATTTGTTTAACCTTGCATAGGGGGATTAGGTCATTTGAGGGGTCAAGGAATCCAAAAAATGTGTTAGAATTGCAAAAGGAGGTCATTTGCAAGTCTGGACATAGCTCTCCAATCTTAGTTCGGTTTGTACAACTATATATACGTCCCAAACCTTTAAGGAGAGGGAGAAAACACATTATAAACTAGATCTAGAGCCTCCGACTCCTCCTATTCTTCTTCTTCCCTTCTTTCTTTGTTTTCATGTTTATGGATTTTTAAAATCCATATCTAAAGCCAGGGGTAAATTTTTCAACAATGCATGGTATTTATTTGTGACCCGTCACGTAAATCGAGTGCTTTAGATTTTTTATGAGTCAAATAATTAATTTTATATGGTTGGATCAATTAATTGAAATTCTTATGAATAATTGTTATTTTGTTTGTTTGTGATAAAAAGAGGTTTTCATTAATGGAAAATTCGATTCATTTCCGACTCTAGGCAGAATGAATGTCTATGATCTACAATTAAATAGCAAGTATTCTTTATCAAAGACCCGAAATATACTTCTTTACCCAAAGTTTTGGCCTCAATGATCATATTTCCTTGGTCTCCAAAGGGATTAATTAAAAGACTA